TGGTGATGTCAGGCTTGCCTGGCACTGCGCTTGGTGATGTCAGGCTTGCCTGGCACTGCGCTTGGTGATGTGAGGCATGCATGCAGCTGCTCGGCCATGGAAGCCCATTCTATGCAGCTCCCAACACGCCATCTTTGTGCTGGAGTTAATGACAGAGGCGTCAACAGAGCGTTGGTGACTTTTGTGCAGTACGTGCCTCAGCACTCAGCGACCCGCTCTGTTATTGTACACGGGCTGCCACTTCGTAGCTGAGTTTCTCTTGTTCCTAAATGCTTTCACTTTGCATTAATACCACTTTCCATTGACCGTGGGATATGTAGCAGGGAAGAAATTTCATGAACTGACTTAGGTGGCATCCTATGACAGCGCCACACTTGAATTCACTGAGCTCTTCAGAAAAACACATTCTTTCACAAATGTTTGTAAACATGTCTGCATGGCTTGGTGGATGATTTTATACACAGGTGACAATGGGTCTGAACAAATCACCTGCGTTCAGTGATTAAGAGGCGTCTCCCAATACTTTTGTCTATATAGTGTATATCACCTAATGGGTTGACTGGCACTGATTCCATCTTCTTTTCTTGCGCATCTTTCCAGGCATGTGTAGGATGCTTGTATCTTCTTCTTTCTGTCGTCCTACAGCGGATGGGAAGACCCTGGTGTCTGTAGGCATTGATGACAGCCACTCTATAGTGGTGTGGGACTGGAAGAAGGGGGAGAAGCTGGCGACGGCGAGGTACTGGGGGCCGTCCTCGGGGGCGATTATCACGCTCCGCCAATCACAGCGCGGTTTAACCCACATACTGTTGGTTACTTAGTTCTAGTCCAGAAGCACAGTAATCACACCCGGCTTGGCCTTCTGACTGCCATTTCCCCTGTCACTAGTCTTATTACAGTCAGACTGTTGACTCGTGGCAAACAGCAGCCCAGGAATCTGTTATGTTTGTGCAGATGTTTGGCCGTTATAATGAAGTCTGAGTCGAGGCCGTCTCTCACATCCAGGGGTCATAAAGACAAGCTGTTTGTGGTCAAGTGCAGCCCCTTTCAAATGGACAAGCTGGTCACGGTGGGGATCAAGCACATCCGCTTCTGGCAACACGCAGGTACCATGTTTGATGACTTCGGGGACGTGACTGAAGAGAGCAGGCTGGCCACAAGCCGTCTTACTAAATTGGTGTTTTTCAACCCGGTCCACCCCAGACAGCCCACATATTTTCTCCTTCCCAGCTCCAAGCATGTGCGTGTTTTCAATGTTCTTGATTGGCTGAGGGCCATGAGGGAGCAAAAAGGTTTGTCTGGAGGTCCCCGACGAATGGGTTCAGAAACACAGCTGTAGAGCACGCGTACGGATAAAACAGACTTTGGTTGCATGATCTGATGACTGCTGCAGCCTTCTGCCATAGTTGGTTTTCCAGATGCGAGTCACGTCGGCTTAGCTGTGAGGCTGCCATTGGGGACTAAGGAGCGCCTGATCTCTGAGCTCCATGCTGTTTCCACAGGTGGGGGCCTCACCTCTAAGCGGGGGGTCTTCGGCAACCTGGGCAAGCCGGAGACGATGATGTCGGTGTGCTACGGCCGAGGGGAGGACCTGGTCTTCTCGGGGGCCGCCACCGGGGACGTTTACATCTGGAAGGAGGTTGTGCTTCTGAAGACCATCAAAGCCCACGATGGACCTGTGTTCGCCATGTATTCCTTAGACAAGGTATGGATGGGAGCAGAACATCCTGAACCTCCCCCGTGGATGTGCACTGTCCCAAGCATGAAATGAATTTGTTAATTAAATGTAGCACATTCTCTCATAAATACATGCTGTGAGCTGGAGAACATTCTTTCAATCTCTCCTGTTCATTCCATTGAGGCCATTTTGGCTGCTTAACTGCAGGATTTATTTCCTGTTGATGAAGTCCTTCGGTCTGGACTGCATGGCTGCTTCGGCGCCAGCCAAATCGAATTAGGTCCTGGCCCTGCCAGGTCCAAGACCCACAAAGAGCTTCTTACTCTATGCCTGTCCCTTGGTTTTAGAACCTGGCAAATATTTGAGGTGGGTAACTGCAGGGAACTAAAATATGGATGGGGTTTTATTTGGTCGTCTGGGGAGTTGTGTGGCTCAGCAGGTTAGGGTTCTGTGCCTATGATTGGAAGATCATCGGTTCAAATCCCAGGGGCAGCAGAATGATGTTGTTGTTGGGTTCTTAAGCAAGACCCTAACGCCCAAGAGCTCCAGGGACTGTCTGTCTGTGTTTTCTCAAGAAAACCTTCAGATTTGCTGGGAGTGTAGAGAATGGTACATAAAACCTGGAGGAACCAAGAAGTGTCTCTTGAGAAAGCGATCACCATACTGAGCCGTAATCATCAAGCCATACACAGGGTTCTCCTTGCACCAGATGTACAGCTAATGGCATCGGCGCTTTACTATAGGAACAGCAAATGAGCCCAACGGGCATCATAACCGAAGAGTTTCGAGGAAGCAGATTAAGCATTTCAAGCCTTCACAGGACAGCATCATAAGGTGGATTTATTAACATGGGCAAATTAAAACGTGTTTCCTTAATTGGCAGTTTGCAGACTTGAATTTAATTGCTGCGACTTCATTAGTGTTCTAGTAAAAATGGCCTGACACCAATGAAATGAGGCTCACCGTTGAGAACCATTGACATAGACTCTGATTTAAGGTATCTCATAGTAAATTAATGGTGTTGCTTTAAAGCAGGGGTGGCCAATCTTACCCACAAAGGCCCGGTGTGTATGCGGGTTATCGTTGCAACTCCCTAATTATATTACTAATTAGAGGACTGATTGGCTGAAGGGTCCTCACACCTGGGTTTCAACGGCGGACCTACAGGTTATCCCAAAAACCTGCATACACACCGGCCCTTTGCGGGTAAGATTGGCCACCCCTGATTTAAAGCAAAATACAGTAATGTTCAGAGCGGGCTTAGTGATGGATTCCCTCACAGACCTGAACATGCCTGCCTTTTTCCTTCATTGTTTGTTTCTTGTAGATAGTGATTCAGCCCTAGGCTGAGTTATGGTGGATAACCTACATCTCTCTTAAAAGTGTCCGTAGTGTAACACGTTCACACGGACGGTTTTTCATCGCTTTCGACTCAGCGATGTGAGCGATGAGTTTCCCTGCGGTGCCGTGCTGTGTCTGGTGGCCTGGGGTCCTTGATGCATTGGGCTGACTTTGACTTTGTCCGTAGGGGTTTGTCACAGGTGGAAAGGACGGCGTGGTGGAGCTGTGGGACGACATGTTCGACAGGTGCCTGAAGACCTTCGCCATCAAGAGAGCAGCACTCTCCTCTGGATCCAAAGGTCAGTCTCAGGCCCGTGGGAGTTTTACTTAGACAAAAATGTTCTGAGGGCAGAATGAGAAATGATTGGTTCAGAGAGATAACCAATCAGATTGTACAGGAAGTGGGTCCAAGCAACTAGAGGAGGTGGGACTAGGACATCTGATTGGTTGGTCTGACATCTGACCAAGATCTGACTGATTATCTTTCAGAACGAATCATTTTTCATTCTGCCCTCAGATCATTTTGTGTAAGTAAAATTCCCAAGAGCCAGCCTCAGCATTTCTTACTTCTGGTTGTAGAAGCACACTCAGTTCTTCTACAAGTCACACCATAAATGTACATTAAGCCCTGACAGACCAATCAGCTGCAGCCCTGTCCTGGGACAGACTTACCCAGAGTTCCATGATGGGGGCGTCTTTCTCTGCCGGGCACTTGGTCTGACCTGCCGCTGTTTCTTACCTCGCTCAGCTCAGAGGAAGTACTCTTTTTTTCTGCTGCATAAACAGAATTATTCCTACATGTTTGGCAGCATACTGATTTTTCAAGGGTTTTGGCTAGACGGATGAATGTGTTACATAGGCACGTTTGGTAAACAACACCAATGTATCGCAAAGCCAGCATGACAAGTCAATGAATGGCGGTGAAGTAACCTAATCGGTTGGCTCTGCTGACATTGATCTTTTCAGGAAATGATCGAAGGGCCTGCAACCAAAAAAGGCTTTTTGAGGTGTTTGCATTCTTGTTTTGAATATGCTACTGAGCTTGTGGAATAGGAAGCTAATTGTTTGTGTACTGATTATGCACGTAGAGGGACCTCAATGTGATGAATATCAAAACCTAGAAGTTAACTCCCTCACTAACTCGGGGGCTGAACATGTGGCAGGTGGTCAGAACTTGGCACCCAAAATACTTTTTTGGTTTTCTGTCAACATCATGCATATTGAAGTTAATATGCTCATTAATCTGCATTATTTTGTGTATTTAGTGCCAACTAAATTTATTTTTACTTTCCTGAGAAAATGGAATGGAATATGTACTGTGTGTGATGGCTTGAAAAAAGGAAGTGGCACGTTTTAAATTAGTAGCATTAGTTTTGTGCATAACAAGTAAATATTTTCCCCAATTATCATGCTTTGTTTTCAGTAAAATGGAATGGAAATGTGTACAGTCAAGGACTAAGATATGATTCCAGCTGGTTAAATGCAGGCTCTCTGGAAGAATTATTTCATGTTTAAAACAGATTTGGTCATACATTTAAATAAATAAACACAAAGTAATATTCCAGGCACAACACAAGATAATTCTGCAATTTGTTTTGTACTTGGCCTGCTGGATTACGGTATAGTTCTCCATAACTGTTTTTTCTGGGAATTGTACTTGTATGTGCAAAATTTTTAAAATACAGAATGTGTTTTTCCATTGTGATTAGGGTCAGAGTGCAGCTTGAGAACAGCCACAGTCAAGGAAAAGGCTTGTCGGATGTAATTACTTGTGGTTGCAGTGCACGGTGCAGTTTATCCAGATTTTTTCATTGGTATCTTTGCTTGTCTTTATTACTGTTTTAATTTGCTGTAAGGGACCCAGTTTGGCTTCAGCTGTCCCATGGTCTCATCCGCCTAATTATTTGGACCATGCTCAAGACAGTAAGACACAGGGCATTTCATCTGCTGGAATTCAGCTTCCGTTGGCATGGCCCGTTGCTTGTGGTGCATATTATGGGATAGCTTTGATCAAAATCCCCGTAACGGCAAAGGCAGTCAGTGGGCCATATGGAAGAGGCTTTGCGTTTTGTCTTTTAAGGCCGTTTGTTTGGACTGGGCTCATTCGTGACGATTTCGTGATTTTTATGGGGCCCCCTTCCATTCCCAAGTCGCCCAGAGAGCCGGAGAAGGAAAATGAGTCCTTCACTTTCATGGATAGTAGACAGCCAGCTGTGGAGCTCACTCTCTCTCTTTCTCTCTCTGTCTCTCTCTCGCTTTCTCACTCATTTTTTCTCTCTCACTCTCTTTCTCTATTTCTTTCTCTCCCCCCCTCCCTCTCTCACTTTCTCTCGAGCTCTCTCGCTTTCTCTCTCTTTCTTTTTCTTTCTCTTTCTCTCTCTCACCCTCCCCCCTCTCTCTGCTCTCCTTCCACAGACTGTTCTCACCTGCACTTCTACCAAGCAGGTGTATTTGAACAGTGAGTCAAACAAACACTGAGTGCTGATTAGTGTCTGTCCCCCTAAAAATCGACACTTTATTTCATCCTGCAGCGACTGGTAAAATTAGGCCGCTGATTTAAATCGGCATCCCGCTTTTGTGACAGATTCAGCCCGGGGCACCTTTGGCACCTTAACTCTTATACGCATCCTTTTTTTATTGTGCAATTTTTCACTCAAGAAATCCATTCATACCAGCCTAGTTTCACACAAGCAGCCTGGCCTTATTTATAGAGAACACCTTGCACAAAGAAGAACGGACCCATTACCTCAGCTTCTACTCTGACATCTGTTAAAACTCATGCTGGGCATCTAATGTTACAGTATCATTGCAGTTCTTACCATAAGTAAGAGGCTTGATGCACTGACTTCTTTCCTTGCTTTGTCAATGCTGCCACCTTTTGGCCATCTCTGTAACTACAGTGGCACTTAAGGGATTATACCAAATAAGGCAGGAGAGTCTGATTTGTGTATTTGCAGGTGCAAATAATGTATTTGTCAGATGCCTTTATGTCGTAGTAGCAAATGCTGTTGGACCCTCTGTGTGTCTTTAAAATACTGGAGGAGGGTGGAAAGCATCTCTGGGGCTTCATGGGTGTTTTCGGGCTACAGGGTTGCTGCTGGAGGACAATCCCTCCATCCGTGCCATCACTCTGGGCCACGGCCACATCCTGGTGGGCACCAAGAATGGAGAGATACTTGAAATCGACAAGAGCGGCCCCATGACTCTGCTGGTTCAGGTGTGTGGGGGTGGGGCTTGGTTTGGGGGCGGGGCTCACAGAGGGGGGGGCGGGATTATTTAAAGAAACGTGCCACCGGCGGCTGGCCTGTCGCTATGGGCAGCTTATTTTTCTGGAGCTTGCGGCTAGATGCCTCTTCAAGGACGCGGCGTTCTCAGGACTGATACCTGCCACGTTGATGGTGCTGCTCAAAGCTTTAGGTGTCTTTTGACTTTGTTCTAGTTTCTCAGAAAGCTTCGTCCAGAATCACAATGACTCAGTTCCCACGAGTGTGAGCGTGCCCCCCCTCTTTCTGCCGCCGCGCTGGCCAGCCAGTCAGTCATGTGATCCTGTCTCCCCATGAGCCAGTGGTACTGGCACGCCATTGCAGCTATGGCTTCTTCTTGCTGCCTCTCTCCCCGCCTCATGGTTCACATCCCGTTTCCATGTGTGGATCCATGGCTTTTGTGAACCTGGTCTAAATAGCTTGACTGGGATTCCCCTCTCTGGGACCTGGCCAGTTAAATCACCTTGACCCACAATAGACATTATAATGTGTCGACTGGTCTGTTTCTCTGAAATAGCCGTACAGTTTGGCCATGTCTCTGAGCACCGAGACGGTTCTTATCTGGTGCATAACTGCTGCAGCCGTGCGTGTTCAGTAACCCCATGATACAGACTCTCAGACTGCACTCCGAAGTTGCCATGGTGATCTGTCAGGCTGGTCGCTACTAGTCTGGTGAAGGTTAGCCGTGATTTCATCGTCGCGGTTCCCTGACCCTGCCTTCTTTTAACGTGGCGGTTCACCTCGAAAATTCGGTGAACTGGTCATTGAAACGTGAAATATGTTTGCAAAACACAGAATGTTTTATATGTAACGTTGGCGGCATCATGATTTCAATAGGGGAAGCATAGTTCCAGATCGATGATCACATGATCAACTTGGAGCCAATCCCGCGACAGTCTGTCTCCATTACTACAGGGTCACATGGAGGGGGAGGTATGGGGCCTGGCGGCCCACCCCATGCTCCCCATCTGTGCCACAGTGAGCGACGACAAGACCCTCCGCATCTGGGAGCTCTTCCCCAATCACCGCATGGTCGCTGTCCGCAAGCTCAAAAAAGGTCTGTGTTCTTGTACTGAATGCTTAATCTTCCCACTTTAGAGCAAAACATGCTGCTTCAGCATCTCCTAAATAAAGAATCTGTTTATTTAATATTTAGTGTAGTGACTGTATGTGGTCAACAGGGGGCTCCATGTAAATGCGTGGTTTGAGTGGAGGTAAACCCCACCTCTGTCCCCAGCTGGGCTGCAGATGTGTGAACTCTGGGGGCTGAGAGTTGGATTCCCTGCAGATCCCGGTCATATCTGATGCATTTGCCTTTTTCTACAGGGAAATAGATTCTTACCCCTATAATAATCCCAGTTTGTGATATATTGCTGTCTCCCATTCTCTCCATTGTGATTTACTATCCTGCTGTTCCCTGTGAGCCTTTACTGCCAGATGTTCATTGAGGAATAAAATCCAGCATAGTTAGCGTTAAGCTAAAGGTGTTTTTACCCTCCTGGGCTGCCACCCCCCCCGTCTGCTTTCAGGAGGACGGTGCTGTGCCTTCTCCCCTGACGGAAAAGCTCTGGCAGTTGGCTTAAATGACGGCAGTTTCCTGGTAGTCAATTCGGACACTCTGGAGGACATGGTGTCCTTCCATCACAGGAAGGAGATCATCTCCGACATCAGGTTCTCACAAGGTGACTCTCTCCCGCCTCTCTGGGTGGGGGGGGGGGGGGGTGTTCCTGCATGTAGTGTCATCATTACTCAGTAGTCACTCAAAGCAGCGGGCGTTTCTCAATACCAAGAATGCAAAGATTGTACTTGTGCTCCTGGCAAGACCAGTCTTACTAACTTACCTCCCAAGAATGAACTGGGGGGCGCAATGAATCATGGGATTGGTCTCGTTTGGCGAGGAGGCACCCAGCTTGGCAAGAACGTCCAGGGATCTTACCATCCTCTGCGCTTCTGATCTTAGTATTGGACCTGGTCTTCGGCGATGGAAGATGATGTCAAACGAGTACAAGAGAACACAAGTACTGTCAAATATGCATATTGAGAAACACCCCAGTGTGTACCCTCTTTTGCCCATTGTGGCAGCCGATTGGTCGGCTGGGAGGGGGGTGCTTACCGCCCCTTTGGTCCCGAGGCCTCTGGTCTCACGCTGCCCCCTGTCTCTGCACAGATGCTGGGAAGTATCTAGCTGTGGCTTCACACGACAATTTTGTAGATATCTACAACGTGCTGACCAGCAAGAGGGTGGGCATCTGCAAGGGAGGGTCCAGCTACATCACGCACATTGACTGGGACACCCGCGGTAAGTGGCACTCGGCACTTCGGGAGGGTGGGGGGCACCCTGTATGCACCACAGCGGATTGATTATTTCTAGGACCCCAATGAAAAAGTCCCTTCGGGGTCCCCCGCAGTGTAGTGGCTGTTCGTGGCCAACGGGGCCGCAAAATTTGTGTCCCCCCACACACATGCATAAACACCGTCACTGCATATGCAGACCCATTCAGTGAGACACACCAGTATCTGCCATGCAAGCTTTCCTCCTTCGTAGTCCAGAAAGGCCTGAAACCCCTGATAAATTAGGGCCATCATCTCTCTACCCACATCACGGCCTAAACACACACAGCCAGGAATTCCTTTTCCACTGTGGATTGATATTCTGTTATTTCTACAAGCCTGGCAGGTTAATTTTAGACTTTTTCTTTAATCTCTGAGACGGCGGGCGCCTGGAAGTTTGTCCGCACCAGTTGGTCTGTCATTGTGATTCATGGGAGCATGAATGAGTCCAGCAAACAGCCGGCCTGCTCTCGCCCCGCCGGCCTGCTCTCGCCCCGCCGGCCTGCTCTCGCCCCACCGGCCTGCTCTCGCCTGCTGGCCTACATGTCACACACGTTCCCTCTGTTGCAGGTAAATTGCTTCAGGTTAATTCCGGTGCCAAAGAGCATTTGTTCTTCGAGGCCCCAAGAGGAAAGAGACAGACCATTCGAACCACTGATGTAAGGAAGGGACAGTGACTGGGTTGATCCTCCCCCGACGCCTGACACCAATCTATATCGTTTCCTTTGATATTCTGATACTTTTATTGAGAATATGGTCACTATCAGTTTTATTTTGAGGGTTTTCTTGCCAATTCATGGTTCTGTGAGCGGCCTTATTCCCCCCGCCCAGATCGAGAGGATGGAATGGGCCACCTGGACATGCGTACTGGGCCCCGCCTGCGAGGGCATCTGGCCCACGCACAGCGACATCACGGACGTCAACGCTGCCTCGCTCACCAAAGACAGGAACCTGCTGGCCACTGGGGATGACTTTGGCTTCCTGAAGCTCTTCAGCTACCCAGTCAAGGTGACTGGGGACTGTTTTACTGACAATTATGGAGCATGTGACAGATATAACGATAAATTACCAGCAACAGACTTAAACCTTGATGGAATTTGCTGTAACCGTTAATAATGCAAGATAACAAGTGTTTCAGTTCAAACTAATAGCGAGATGACTGTTAAATCATCATGATATTTTATTGACGTATCGCCCAACCCTAGTGTCACACGGCATCACGGTGTTTACTGTCACAGCGATCATGTCCATGCATCCAATTCACAGGGTCAATATGCCAAATTTAAGAAGTACATGGGTCACAGTGCCCATGTGACCAACGTGCGCTGGGCCCAGGATGACGCCACGCTGCTGACGGTGGGCGGAGCCGACACGGCGCTCATGATCTGGGCACGCGAGGCCACGGGGAACCGCGAGCCCAAGCCCGTGGACAGCGAGGAGTCCGACGACGACACCGACGAGGACGGAGGTGCGATGGCTCCCGCGTAGCAGCAGGGGCTGGGATGTTAACTCAAAAAGTCACTTCAGGTGCCCCCTAGTGTCATGACTGTTTGTGGGCAACAGAGAGCACCAGATGCTTGCAGGCCGCACGCAAATGCGTGGTTGGTGTACTGGTAAAGGTTACTACGGGACGTGGGGATGCACTTCCTTGAAAGTGACTATAGCATTTCTGGAAAATTCTGAATGTGCGGTGATGTTTAACCATGAACGCGGAGAAGAAAGGATTTGCATTTAGATGATTAGATGATCCAAGTTAAACATATTGATCAAGGATCCTACAACCGGGCCCCTACTGAGTGGCCCCCCCAAACTCCCCCCGCAGGCTACGACAGCGATGTGGCCAGGGAGCGGAGCATCGATTACACCACCAAGATCTACGCCGTCAGCATCCGAGAGATGTCTGGTACCAAGCCACACCAGCAGCAGAAGGAGGTGTCACCAGAGGAGAGGTACACCCATCATGGCTGTAACTCCGCCCATGCCCGTCCGCTCACCTGCCTTACCCACAATGCCATGCTCCCATCGCACCCATGGTACCGCTGCCTTCTGTCAGCAGCTTGATTAAAACAAATTCACACCGTTATGTTAACAGGCTGGTTCTGTATTAATCGCAGGTAATTCCCAGGTAGCTCTGTAAGACGATAGGCAGCGCTTGTCTGATCTCTCTTTGCTTTTTAGCGCCATCTAGTGGAAGTTTGTTTTGCTGCGATATTATTTTTCCAGGGCAGATGTGGGATTTTTCTCTGAATTTTTTGAGCTGGATAATAAGCGATTCAGTGGGTGAGGATTAAGGTATTATTAACCTGAACTAGGTTTCTACAGCCAAAAAGCTGCATACTTAATAAATGTAACTGGGTATTTATTAAAGGAAACGCTAAAATCTCACCACCTTTGAGCAGCTACTTGACCTTGAAACCCCCCCACTCCTCTGTTGATTTTTTGGCATTCTCTCTCTCTCTCTCTCTCCTCCCTATTTCATGCACCATTTAACACGCATGGCATAGTAATGGATTGCCACACACACTAGGTGGCCGTCTGATCCATGTCAGGAAGGACACTATGAGCTACGACAGGGTTTGTAAACTACCATTTCAGCCATTTCATTGTAAGGACCCGGATTTCATTTAAGCGCTGAGTTCTTGCTGTCTCCTGTAATCATGCATGTGTCACTAATGTTAATGTGAAACAGCTGGATGAGTCTTTCAATCAAGGAAACAAACCAGTAAAAGCACAAGAAGAACTATTTAGCCAAACACAGGGACCTTTCAGTTTTGCAGTAGTTTGTAAAACCTGAAGTAGCTCATACTGACATGGATTAGGTGGTCACCCTAGCGCTATATAAAAGCTACATCTTCCTCTAACACATTGTGGCAGTCCAGCTATGGAGATTCTTGAACCTATAACAACTTCTGTACCCTTTACTGGCCACCAGAATGTCCCTTCACCTGCCCATGTGGTTTGTGTCCTTCCACCAGGACCATTCTTATGTGTCACACCTCATGAAAATGGACCATAATCCTATTGAATGCTGTACTGACTAAATTATACGTAATACATTTTACGCCAAGGACCAATTCCCTTATGAAACCTACTAAATTCTTGGATGCTTAAACATAAAACCCATTTGCTTTGACTTGATGTCATATAATAATTAAAATTTTAATACCTGCAGAACTGTTCGCCAAGGTTGGCAAAGTCTCACAGGTCCTTCTCTAATGGCTTGTGACTTGAGTCTGTGCCTGTATTTGCTGCAACCCCTCGCAGTGCGGGAGTGGATCTCAGCATGACTGCACAGGTGCTCTGCAGTGATAATGCACACAGGGTAGTGCACTGGGTATTTGCCGAACATTAGAAAACAGAAAAGACCACTCAAAACGTCTGCACTGCAGATTGACGCGCTGGGGACACAAATGTTGCATTTCATGGGTATTATCATTTTTATCACCTGTGATTGCAAAGTGAGAGGCCTGACATTTCACATTTATTGTTTTTGACAGTGTAAATGTCCAAATTCATTTTCAAACCGCAGTTTGCTCATTTCACGTAGAACATGCGTCATTTCCCTCAACTGGGAATTTACTATTTACCAAGTGGGCGTGTTTTTTTTTTTTTTTTTTGCCCCTGCGCTGGATGAGTTGGTCAGACCACCTACTCAATTGCACTTTTCACCAGGAACAATTTCTCTTTCACATTGTGAGAAGATGTCAAAGCAGGATTCCTAATTTCCTGGAAAGGTCTGCTTGCTTCCTGCTAATTTCATATTGATGTTCCATTCAGTCGTTCCCAATAGTCATTGCTATTAACCCATTTCTTTTGTTCAGCTCAGATGTGAGGTTAATATCGTGGTGTCTTAGATGACGTCTGGTTTGGTCTTTGGGAGGCTGAATGTTTCTTTTCTCACTTATTTCTCATCATACTCAAATTATGTTATGTTGGGTTTTGTTGTGTTTGGGTTTCCTGTGATGCATAAACTGCCTTGGGAACCATAATGAATTCAGCCAGACACTCAGCAGTAATGAATCATTTCAGATGGATGTTTTTTCCTCGTAGAGGGCACAGAGGTCAGGACCGATCTGAGGGTATCGTATCATATTGTTTGCATGATGAGGTCCTTAGGAACGCATGTGCCTCTGATGGGGGGAGGGGGGGCGCCTCATGTCCTGGGGGCTTCAGCCAAGCTGGCTCTTAGTGTCTTTGGCGTCAGACGAGGTCACGTACAGTCCAGGCTGTAACAGAAGACGCCGGGTGGTTTGGATGTCAGTAAGCTCTCGGTGACGGGATCATCCTCCCACATCTGCACACTCACCTTCACCCTGCAGGAACTGGGCCCAGCCTGTCCTGATCCGACATGAGATGCTGGCCCAGCACCCTCTGAATGCACAGCGCATATGGGCGCATGCCGCTGTGCGCCACATGTCCAGCGGTCATTTTTCATGGATGGGATTTCGGGCTCAGGAGTGACCATCCTCCACCTGCCACTCCCACTTCTGAATCTCATTATTTCCTGCTCCTGTCTGATTGGTCTTTTCTTCATCCTGTCATCCTTCAGCCCCATGAAGCAGTGAGCCTGTAGGCTAAGATCAAAACTATATTCCACCTTAAAAATGGGTTCCTGGGTAACCAGAACAAAGTGCTGTTTTCATCCCTCGATTAGTTCCCAGCATGGTGACCAAACTGGCCCCCCATTCGTTTCACAGCACAGGTTTCACAGTGTGATGGGGGCTTGACTCTTTGCTCTGGGGATTTTTCGCCCTTGTTCCCATGAGGTCCACTTTAACACCCCCCGCCCACCCCCCCCACTACCCATCTACCAGCCAATGCTATCCCTCCGCCCCCTCCTGCACTACCCACCTGTCCCTGTCCACCCTGTTCTCGTCCTGTCAGAAGTGCTTAACGTCTGTGTTGTATTTTAACTTGCATTCCTTTGGAGGCAGGGAATTGTCAAGTAAGTACCTCCTGCTGCGTATCCTCCATACACCAGGGGGAGCTGTTACACCTTCCTGCCCACGTGACACGTCTGAAACACAATATACACACACACACACACTGTATAAGAAGACTGGTTTGCAGATTTTATATTAAAATACTTAATAGACATTATATATATATATACTTATCAGTCCATATATAGATAAAATATCATATAAACAGTTACACTATTTATGTTTAGCAAACATTAGTATGATATTAAGGAGCTACACATTGCTCTTATTGCGCGAGACTACGTCAGCGTGCAACATCACCGCTGGCCAGCTGTTTCTCTCTGTGTCGCATGCACATGTCACTTCCGTGTTCCTTGTTTTTATATAACAGTTCTGATTGTGCTTTATTTCATTTTGGGAGTATGTATAAGATCACGCCAAAGAGGTATACAGACCTGTGTGCTGTTCAGCCGTCTGTATGACGAGGCAGCGATGTACTTGTTTTCTTTCAGAAGCGTAATAATCTTTGGCTTTGAGGTGAGCGATGTGCCTGAAAATTCCTTTTATTTTAATGACGGATCTTAAGGTTTCCGTAAGCAGGAGTGCGTCCCTGAAAATGCACCTCGCCGGGTTTTTATGGTTCTGCCCATCAGATGCTATATGGCCACTGCTGGACCTGGAAAGTGATGTTTGATGCAGACTTTCCTCTTCCTCTTCTGCTTTTTAGTCCTGTTGTCCTTCCCATTATACTTGCCCCAGTGGGCTAATCGCAGTCCTTGGTTATTTCGATCTTTCGTCTCCGGCTGTAAAATTCCCTCTTGATGAGGTTCTGGAAGGCAAACCTAGAGCTGGGTAGGTGATGCTGGCCAAACCATCCTGGGACCAGCGACCGCTCCCCCCCAACCCTTGCTCAGATAGCACCGACCAATCAGCTGGTCGCTCTCCTGAGCTTGTCCTCCCATCAGGCTGTGGGGCAAGCGCACTGACGCAATTCTCTCTCCCTGTCCCCCCCCTGCCCCCCCCTCCCTTTCACCCTCCCCATAGGAACTTTAGTACACAGTTTGCCCAGGGACGCCAGGGTATGACCCCCACCCCTCCCCCCCCCCCACCCAGCTCTCGAGCCGTAGCCTGGTGCATTCTCCCATGCGCGGTGTCGCCCCCTATCTTCCATACCTGGCATGCTTGAGGAGCATGGTTTGCGCCGGGCGGGAATGATGGTCTTAAGCCCCCTGGATGCTTGTGCATGACTCCGTTAGCCGCTAACGGCCCGCGGCCCTGAGTGGGGGTCCTCGGGCTCTCGCGCGCCTCCACTAAAACTCTCTCACTTGGCTTTGCCTGCTGCCACACAAGGGGATCCAGGTAAATGTCTTCTTTGAACTCTTCCGTGTTGCGCCCCTCCCCCGCTGCCATGTGCCCTCTGCCCCTCGCCTGGTCACAACGACGCGTGACATTTGACCAGTGTGTCCAGATTGCCGGCAGGGTTAGAGTTGATCATCTTTTTTTTTCCCCCCCTAACCTCTCCCAGTTCATGTCACTGATGAAGTTGAAAGTGGGAGTCAGAATGGGGAACGAATTATATCAAGATTGTAGCCATCCATGAACTTCCAGAAAAGATGATCCCCTTGTTGGATTGGTTATCCTGCTGTAACCCAAACTCTAAGCATACAGTCGCTGGGTCTGGTGTTACTGTCCAGCAATGTCCTTTGAAGACGAGGGGTCCTATCTCCCGCGACCCTTCATGGCCAGCTTGCTCTCACCTACAGTACAGAGAGCAAGTTCGGGGAGGCGTAAAGAGAATTTCCCCACGGGGATCAATAAAGCATCAATTATTTTTTTTTTTAAATGCATTCGATTTGGTCATTTCTCATTTTAGTCACTTTGGTTCGCATTTCTCAGCAGGGGATTGGAAAAGCTGGACGCAGGACCCGCTGCAGGGCTGGAGATTAAGCTCTGGGTATGACAACTGAAACCCAGCCCGCTGGCTAGTAAAAAATAGCATGTCGGGCCACATCTTTCACTGAGCTAACCCAAGTGGCTAACCCCTGCCACATGGTCAACTTCTGTGACAACTGCAACAGGGAGAGGGGGGAATCATGTGAGTGGGGGGGGTAAAATCCTAGCTCGGACCTGAGGTCTGACTGTCGTTGTGACCAAGTCTGATGGCTGCATGGCTGCAAATGGCCGCCTGCTCGCAGAGAGTGCCTTGCGGTCTGTGATTCGCGGTCAGTGCTTTACAGGAGTTTGACCTTGCCCCGCCCATCACTCGGGTGATAGTTATGCACGGTCCGTACAGGATGCAGTGCCATAACTAGTGCTTGTCCACAGTCATTGCACTCTTGTGTTCATTGCTATGGCGACATGGTCTGGTGTGTCTCTATCTCTCTCTCTCTCTCTCTCTGCCGTGTACATTACTGTAAAAGTGATCTAACTGTTGGACATTCTCTCCCTGTCTGTCTGTCTGTCTCTCAGTTCACAACAGGTTTGTTTGATAAAGCACTATCTGCAAAATGTAAGCAATGATGAGCTTTCGGGAAAAAACTAACGTGTAACTGGTGAACTTGGTGTCATTTCTGCTTGGCCCATACTTTTGTTATATGGAAAGATATATCTGTTAAGTTTCTAAAATATGACTCTAATCCGAATGTATTTTGCTTTCCACACGTCCGCCTTTAGTCATTTAAATGTTAAGGCATTCTTGGTCCCGTCGTCATTTTCACAGCTCCTGGGTTGTGGGTTCGAATGACCCCCTTCCCTCTCTTCCAGCCTGATCGCTCTGTGTCTCCCGATGGGCTCTGGATCAATGTGATGTCCATTTGATTAACAATAAACCGTTTGATTTAGAAATTTAATATAATCTGACTTGCTAATCTTCCTTAGATTCAGGGTTATGCAAACTACCGTTAATGAATATTATGACAGCATTTGTACTCTAGATTAGGACTAATTCCTTAAAGCAGTGTTTCTCAAACCTGTCCTTGGGAGCAAAAACATGGAATGTCTGGCAGGGAGCAAAAACGTAGAGTTCCCCCAAGTACCCGTGGAGAAACACTGCCACAACAGAGTAAATAGTAATTTAAATGCATAATTAGCTGTAAAGCGCTCGACAGTCACTGGCAGTTTGTTTGTGTGTCCGATATGAAGCCATCAGTAATCTGCACATTTCCTGGTCCAGCGTAGCATCACCGCTAACGACTACGGCATCCCATGTGTGTTGATGTTCTCCGGGTGTCTGCATATCGCAGTGTGAAATCTGTGGGTGTGTCCTGTCGCTGGAGAAAGGCGGTCATATCGTGCCGCTGTGACGTTTGTGGCGCTCGCAGTGTCCTGGCGTGTGCCTACACGGTGCATACTTTGACATGGTATGCACGGAATGACCGCGGGCAGTGTGTACCCTCCCCTGCGCCACCACCCAAAACGTCTATAAATGTATAGAATGCATGGTTGTTGATGTTGTTGTAAACCATCACAGTGAAGCCTGATACGGGATTCGCTGTGTGATGCTGTACCTCTTATGATCGCTGTATTGTTTTGTTGTTCTGTCTTCGCCACGTTAGTTTGGCCAGTCATGTGGTGCTTGAGCCTTTGATTAAGTAAACCCAGTTCATTAATATTATATATAACACTGCATCAGAGCCCCCCTCCCCCGCTTCTCAGGAAGTCTAGGCCAGTAAAGGCAGGGACTCGTTTTGCCCACATTTAAAGGGCAAGAAAATTAAATGCAGGAGTCCTACTGGAATCCTACAAGGGGATTTGCTAAACTTATCCACAGTGGAACATAATAAAAACCAGTGACCCTCAAGGGACTTCAGGAAGTCACGTGGTTGGGTTTGGGAACATCGGCCTGCCTTCCCCACTGTGCTGTACCTGAGCTGGCAGGCCGGCTGGCCAGGGCACCAGCAAACGGCAGTGTTAAACTTCACTCGGAAGGGCTGTAATATTTTACTGAGCTCCCACTGACCTGACACAGAGCAGACCCTCGTAAAGCTCCCCGTAAGTATGCTGCACCCACGCTTCAATGGTGAAGGTCACAAGGCCAGGAGAAGGGATTTGGTTTTCTCAGTTCCTGCACGTCTTTCTGATGAGCCAAGAAACATTGAGTTAGATACCGTACATTATCATAACAATGACACTAGTGTTAGCATTAAAATCACAATGGCTTGGCACCGTTTCGTCTTCTGAGGCAGATGCTGACACATTGTCTGATGTTTGTAGGCCTCCCGTGAGTCGAGCTGCCCCCCAGCCAGAAAAACTACAAAAGAACAACGTTTTAAAGAAGAAGAAGCTGGTGGAGGTCTGTTCATCAGTTAACGTGCTAACGTGCTACAGAGGAATGCTAACCCTTAGCATGGTTACCCATCACCCGCTGCCCTGTTCCCTCCCAGGAACTGGTGCTAGACCATGTGTTCGGATACAGGGGCTTCGACTGTCGCAACAACCTGCATTACCTCAACGATGGCGCCGACATCGTCTTCCACACGGCGGCAGTGGCCATATTGCAGAGCCTGTCCACAGGTGACTTTGACTGGGGATGTGTGCTCACCAGTGGGGTCGTTACCGTGCGGGCAGTGCAGTGAGCTCATGACCTCTAGCAGAAGCTGCTAAAGCATCCGTCACGCATGTTAACATGTATGTGTGCAGGTTTATAAAAGGTTAAAGGGAAAGCGATAACCAGCTATTTCTTTGCTCATCTGCTGCATGTGCAATGGTCCGTGTTGATAAGTCTTGTAAACACTGAAGGTCAAACAAATGAAACAAAAGAGCCACTTAACCAAGTGCTGGCCTGACCTGGCGTGTAAATGGCCCCTTCCTATCAGGAACCCAGAGCTTCTACCTTGAACACACAGACGACATCCTCTGCTTGACTGTCAATCAACACCCTAAGTATAAGAATGTCATTGCCACCGGACAGATAGGTAAGCACCAAGGGGTCTGTGTGTGTGTGTGTTTGTGTGTGTCTGTCTGGACTGCATACCTGACCGTGCATGTCAAGCCCTGTCCACATGCCGTGTATTAGCGTGTGTGTTAGTGTGTGTCGTGTGTTAGCGTGTGCCAGTGTGCGCCGCTGTTCCCGTGGAGGGAGTGTCCACACCGGCCATTCTCCGCCAGGCCGCCGTTCCTTGGGCTTTGCCTTGCCTGTTTTTGTTTCCGCCCCGCTGCGCCCCCTGCTGGAGTCGCTGTGCTTTCTTTTGGCCTCAGCTGCAGTAGAGTAGGTGACTTATCCCAGCTGTTTTTTTTTTTACGCTTCTCCATTCCCCATTGCACACACACAACAGGCGATGTCACAGACCTGCCAGGTAAGACCGTACCATTATTCTTCCCCCACGCCCCCCCCCCCAATCATCGTGGGCCCCCCTGTTGCATCTGTACCTAAGCTGCCAAGTGGAACACTGTTACCCCCTCGTCCCCGCGTCAGTCAGCTCGTGGTGTGACAGTTTGTCCCGCCCCCAGGGATCGTCCTGTTCCATTTCCCCTGTCCGTCAGCGTCGTACTCCAGCAACTCCGGGTTGTTTACCAGGCAGCGCCGGTGTTCACCACCACTCAAATAATGCACAGGCGTCGGGCCCTCCAAGGTTTGGGGGCCCCCTGCTGGCCAGACGTAATAAACACATTCTTTGTTCAAGAGATTCTGAAGCCGTATGTTCTTCTAACAAGCTAGCTAGCTACAACCTTCTGGCTGCACCCACTAGCTATTTAGTTACTTTTTGAAGCATTTTAGGGAGGGGGGGGGGGATTGAGGATTGACTGTTCCTAGGCTCTTGGGGAATGTTAGGGCTGTTCATAGGCACATGACGCTCTGATTGCTTCACTGAGATCCAGATGGTCACTGTACCAGGTTAGTGGTCAGTGGGAGTCCATAGCAAACAGGGAATCATTTGTACATTACTTGAGTTGGGTTGCCTGTACCTTTTAGTTCCCCCTGTGTACCGAGCTTTACTGTTGGTGGTATGTGCTCTCTGTAGATATGGATGCCCCCCCACCCCAAACGCCCACCCTCACCCATGCAGTGGAGCATCTCATTGGTTCTGTGAGTCGTCCT